CATACTCCTGAGCACTCTCTGACTGATGTCATCAAAGCATACTCCTGAGCACTCTCTGACTGATGTCATCAAAGCATACTCCTGAGCACTCTCTGGCCTCTGCTCTGGCTTCCTGTCATGTGATGTCACCTCTCCCTCTTACACAGGTTCCCACCACGTGGAACACCATCCACCATGAAATCCTCACCGGCTAAGCTGAAGCCAGGACCAGGGCCTTGAAGCTCCAGAACTAAGAGCTAAATAAAGTAATTTTCCTCCTACGTACCCAGCTTTCAGTATTTCATTACAGTATCAGCAAACAGACTGAGAGGAGGGTCTGGAGAACATCACAGGGGTACACAGCGGTGGCAATTCAAAATCAGTGCAAGCAAGGAAGCACGCAGTATAGGCAGGCAAGAACCCCAATACAGCACACCCCACCCCTGCAACAGGGCGTCAGAGTGGCCAGGAGAGAGCGCCCCACGCAGCTGAGACTGCGCCAGGGTTTGACGGGGAGGGTCCCAGTGTGTCGCGACGGCCTGAAAACCCATGCCGAGGCACATGCGTGCCTGCCGCCAGGGATACGCGTGGGGCCCAGGGTCTCAGGTCAGTGGGGAGCAGGCCACACGCACTGTGACAGCGGGCCGAGGAAGGATGACAGCCGTGCAGGACGGAGGCCTTTGGTGGCCCCCTCCGCTCGCCCGCTCCCTGGCACTCAGCCCCCACCGAGAGAGTCCATGTGGTTTAGCTTTATTAAGAGGCCTAGCGAGGGTGGGCCGGGCTCGGGTGTGGGTGGTGTCCACAGGAGGGAGGAGGGTGCATGGAGAGCCCGGATGAGAGGTGGAGATGGCCAAAGTCCTGTGTAGGCATGTGCGATAAAACCAATAAAAGCTGAGTTGAGGAGGAGGGATGGAGAGAGGAGGCTGATGGGGCCCAGGGTTTGTGAGGATGGAAACCTCCATGAAGCCCCCTTGGACAACTAACACTAAAAAATACACTAAAATCAAGCACACACATGTACATGCGATTGGTGGATTTTGGTATTTCTACATGAGCAAATCCTTTTTTAAATAAAAACAAGTAATCAGTTCTAACTGGAATTCGCTTCAGCTTCCACATTGAAGAATGGAAACTTCCAGGCTCTCTGGTTGGCTCCTGGTCCAGGCTGACCTCTGCCTGTTCTCAAAGGCCCAGCACTCCAGGATTAATGGTGGCCTTGGCCAAGGCCCAGAGCACGGACGAGGATGCTCCAGATGACATGAAATTCATACTGATGAGAGTTGGAAACGAGCAGTTCGGTTCAGATGACGGCGGGCTCCACTGAGCAAGGTTCTACCCTGCGCAAGAGCGAGGCGTGTCCCTGATCGTGGAGGCAGCCTGGGGGAAGGAACCGGCGTGCGGGGGACGGAAGGTGACCTTCCTGGCAGCCGGCATGGCCTCAGCAGGAGCCACTCCCTGCGCAGGTTTGGCCTGGCAGTCTGATCCAGCTGGCCACCCAGCCTGCAGCTCCATGGACTTCCATGGTCTCGGCCAGCCTCACTCCGCCTGGACCCTTCCATGGGAACAAGGCCGAAGTCAGCAGCCTGGAGTCACTCGAGGGGCAGCAGCCGCCCCGCAGCCACTCCGGCGGGGTCACCCACACGGCCGGAGCAGGGCCGGCCACATGGGCTGCAGGGGTGCAGTCACGTGCAATGACTGGGCACAGTGCCAGCGCCAGCTGCAGGGCCCAGGGCTTCAACCCGCACTCTAACACCTCGTTCCAAGCGTGGCGGCGCCCCCCTGGCTGACCACCATTCCTCAAGGCAGGGTCCCGGAAGCTGCTGCCCCTGGCCTGGCCCCGCCGGCGGCAGAGCGAGGGGCCCACCCACCGACAAGGGCTGAGAAACTGCTCTCCTGTGTGCCCAGGAGGCAAACTGGCCAGAAACAGCCAGACCATCTGTCATTAAAGTAACCTAATGAAACCGAGGGAAAATGAATCCTTTCCACGCTCCTGGCAGACTCAAAGGCAGCAACCAGACCCAGCAAGGCCTGAGCCGCTCTGTGCTGCGGACTCTGGGAGGGGCCTTGCCAGTCAGAGCCTGGTGACCTCTGACCTGCATCACCTCCTCTGTCCCAGAGACCCCTGCCCTGAGCCCTGGGGCTGTAAATTCCCCACTTGCCAGTGAGAAAACTTGGCCGAAGGTGTGGGCTAGGCAGCAGTAGGTCAGAACCGGGGAATGCCCCTCTGAGGCCTGTACTGTACGGTCACTCCCTCCACAGAGCAAGGTACGAGGCCGGGCAGCCCCACCTGACGGCCAGCCCCAGACACTGCCCAGAACAGCAATAACCCAACAGAGGAGAAGGCCAGTCCCTGCCCAGATGGACGGCTCCTCATTCCTTGGTCCCCAGCAGGCTTCTGCCAGGCCTCCACTGCCCTGGCTGCTTTTGAAAGCAAGGCACAGGGAAGAAAAGATCTGCCCTCCAGGAGCTTGGCTGCTTGTGGGAGAGGCAGGACAGACCAATCACTTGAGCCCGGAGCTGTCTAAGTCTCCAGGGATGGGCATCCCAAGCACCTGCCTTCCCCTCTGCCCAGCACTGGACCCTGGAAACTCCCAGGGGCTAAATGGCTGCAGCACACCCACTACGTGCTGACATCGGTCACAGCACGGAAACAGGCCGCCCCACACACAGCGAGGCAAAGCTGGCTGGCTCGGGCCAACAGAACATGTGACCTGGAGCTCCCTGGACAGTGCCCTTGTTCACATGAGAAGCAGCCATTTTCCCGGACTACATGCTTCTCCGGAACTGGGTAATGAGGAGTGATAAAGTAGACCAGCCACCGGCTTTCCAGCCACCTTCTAACGTGCATAATGAATTTCTGGCAGAGCTGCCTCCTATTTTGAACATGGTGAAAAATGGACTGCTAAACCCCAAGCATGACTTTCAATTTATATACATCAGAGCTGTGGATGTATATGCTGAAAAGATTCATTTTTCCTGTTTTGTAAGTAATTGTGAGCAGATGCTCTTTCACTGATAAAGGTAATTTGGTTAGCAATAATTCTGAGACTGAAATTTCCATTTCACTGGAAAGAAGGGTGGGCACATAATGAATGAGCAGGCAGATGTAATTATTGTCATCTTTCAGGCTGAAAAGAGTCCTTTACAATACCCCGTGAGGCTGTAGAAACACCGGGAAGGGACTGTGCTGCGGGTCGGGGGGAGGCAGAGACACAACAGCCATGGCTGCGGAGCCCTTTCCTACTGCAGGCTGGAATTCTCAGAACTTCATGTCTTCCTGCCTGGAAGTGCAGACACATTAGACAAACATTCTGGGCCCGGGGACTTCCGCTACAAAGGAGAAAGCGTGGATCTATTGACGTGGCATCAAAACACTGTTGACGCAGGAGCAGACGCCACTCAGATTTATTTGCCCAAAGAAGAGGCACAATTGCTCACACTTAGCTACCTGACAAAGAAACCTTTCAAGCACCCCGCACAGAGCCAAAGGAAGATGTG